TCAGCATCCACAAAACAGCAGCAGGTGGCTCGTTAGCTCGCACGCCAGGCAGATCTCAGCCCTGTCCCACTTCTTGACACAGATGCAAAAACTCTTCACAAATTATAGTAAATCGAACCCAGAAATATGTGAAAGGCATAATGTCAGGACCAATGAGGCTTTCCCTCCATGATGCAGTATGGTTTTGCATTGCAAACTTGGCTCAGTGTTCAAAAATTGACCAGTATCATTCACCACATTAACAAAATAATGGAGAAAATCCATTCGATCGTCTCAGTAGACACTGCAAAACACTGGACAAAATTCAATTGTCATTTCTTATAAAAACTTTCTATCAAATTAGGAACAGAAGGGGCCTTTTTCCATTTGAAAAAAGCCATCTATGAAAAATTATAGCTGACATCGTCCTTACCAGCAGAAGGCAGGGCTTTGCACCACAGTCAGGAAGGAGGCAGGGCAGCCCTTCTCACCAGCTCTTGCCCACGCCCTGCCTACTGGGATCTTAGTGAAGTAAGGCAAGAAAACTAAAAGGCATAAAGGCTGGAAAGGAAGAGGCAGAACATTCTTGATTTACAGGAAATTTGATGGTTTATTTAGAACATTTCAAGAAATATACAAACTACTAGAAATAATGTGAATTTTGCAAGAGTGTGAGATGGATACTTCAGAACAGGTGATAAACATGTGCCCCGTGAGCCCACGAAAGATGCTCAACACAGTCATCGGGGAAATGCAGATTAGACCCATGAGACTCCACTCGCAGCCATTGGAGAAGAGGTTGATGTGACACAGGCTGGTGAAGGCGTGTCAGGGCTGAAGTTTCATACGTTTCCAATGGGATGTGAAACATTGTAAACACTTTAGCAATCAGTTTGGCAGTACTATGAAAATTTAACCATATACTTACTGTACCAGCAGTTACACTTTAGACATTTATCCAAAAGAAATGAAAATGTATGTCCATGTAAAAGAATGTACGTGATTCTTCATGATACATTTTCCATCATAGCCAAAAACTGGAAATAACATAAATATCTATCAGCTGGAGAAACATGAACAAATTATGATATATCAATACATTGTGATAGCATCAGCAAAAACCTGTGAAGGGCTGATATAGGCAGCAAAACGAGTGAATTCAAGAGCAAACCATAGCATAGAGTCTGTACAATTCTTTTTTTTTTTTTTTTTTTTTTTTAAAAGATGACCGGTAAGGGGATCTCAACCCTTGGCTTGGTGTTCTCAGCACCACGCTCAGCCAGTGAGCAAACCGGCCATCCCTACATAGGATCCGAACCCGCGGCCTTGGTGTTATCAGCACCGCACTCTACCGAGTGAGCCACGGGCCGGCCCGAGTCTGTACAATTCTGTTTGTATGAATGTCAGGAACTAAGGAGAACTGATTGAAAGAGTGAGCAGTGGCCGTTCCATGAGGGTGTGGCTGAGTGGAAGAAGGGGCACGTAGGATTCTATAGGCTTCTCTCCATTTACCAAAATGTATCAAATGCCCTTAAGATCCGAACATTTTACTAGATGTGTATTTAACACCCTCCCCCAACCAAAAAAAAAAAAAAATTGTAAACTAATATTAAACTCTACTTAATAGATTTGATTTTCATGGTGGTATCAGCAACTCTAAAATTACTTTATGTATCTCCCAGGCTTAAGCAAATACACTTAATAAATCAGTGAATATATTGATGATAATAGGAGCCCAAATTCTTTCCTAGATAAGGGAGTTAGAAATATGGAATGTTTAAGGACTTGAATAGGTCAGACAGTGTTGGGTTGAAATAGGAGGCATCAGTATGAACTCATGGCTTCCAGTAGGTAGATACAGGGAGGAATAGAAGTGTATGTGGATACATGCAGACATGTATGTGTGTGTCTAAGTGGATACATGTGGATGTGTGTGTATGAAGTGGATACATGCAGACATGTATGTGTGTGTGTACGTGGATATGTGTGGACATGTGTAAGTGGATACATGTGGATATAAATGTGTAAGTGGGTTCACGTGGACATAAATGTGTGTAAGTAGATGTGTTCGAGTGCTCTTTTTGCTGGCAGGGCCCAGGAGCAGTGTCTCCTCGTGACAGTGAGCTCGTGTGGTGCCCAGTCTTGGCTTCTAAACACAGTTCTTTACTAGAAGGAGCTGGTCTCCTGATTCCAGGGATGAGGCAGGGAACACAGAAGATGATGGGGGACGTTGTGTTCTAGCAGAAAGTAAGAAAGGGCTTACATGTGACGGGGACCTGACCAAAAGACAGAGAGGCCAGCTTGAAGAGAGTCCTCCATCTTGAACCTGGGACCATTTGAGCATCAAAATAAAAAATGATAATTATGAATTATAACCCATTTAATCAGACTCCATGAGAACATATTCACGTATATAAAAATGAATGAGTAGAAAGGAAAGTTAGTAACTACTAATTTTTTTTAAACAAACGCAGAGGATCTAATGATTCAGAGGGAACGGTGGAGTCAGGAAATCCCTAACAGTGCTGCAACTAGTGGGAGCCACTTTGGGGACCAGGACATGCAGATGGTGTCAGAGAGTCTCCTCCCCCATCTTCCTGATTGCAGTGAGGGAACTCGGACACCACACTTAGCAGGTGATCCAGGCCAACGTCACTCTGGAGGACACGCATTTGAGGAGCCCCTGCTGAGATGCACAATCTGAATCTCATCACCTGGAGACATCAGAAAACCCAGATTGAAAACAGGGTACAATGTAACTGGCCTGCATTCTTTAAATATTCCAGTTTCAGGAAACACAAAAGCTGAGGAACCATTCCAGATTCAAAGAAGGTGAAGACAGTGCGATGAATCAGTACAGTACTGGATGGTGGTGTAGACGAGGAAGACGGAGCAGCTGGTCATTATGGGGTGTCTAACACCATTCGAGTGCCAACTTTGGATTAGCTAAGAGCAGTATATCAGTGTTAAATTTCCTGATCTTGAGGAAGTCTTGTGTTGTGTGAGAGGATAGCCTATTTGTAGGAAACTTATGGAAACATCTAGGTGTGGGGTCATGGTGTCTCCAGTTTATTTTCATATGATTCAGAAAAATGTGGGGGTGGGGAGGGAAAGCTGAGGTAAACAGTCATGAGCCTGGGGCAGTTGCACGGAACCGTCTGTGCTGTTCTTGCAGGCTTTCTGTAAGTTTCAAGTTACATTCAAGGAGTTCAGCAAGGAGACCACACAGGCTGGAAGTGTTGGGCTGTGGAAATGGAAGACGCCCCCACCCCTCTGACAAGCACTTCAGTTTCAGGCCGTGGATCCACGTCAGCCATCATTTCTTGATCTGGAGCTTAGGGAAAAGTGTGACCAGGAGACCAGGATTTCATCTTCGGACACTGTGAGTCTAGTTGAGGGGAAGCATAGTGAGTGCAAAGGCTGAACACGACTCTACTATGTAATAAGTTAGCTGCTTGTGGCATGTAACATGCTCTATATTGGTGCGTGTGGCATGTAACGTGCTCTGTGACAGGGGCCAGCAAGCATTTTCTGCAAAGGGCTGGATGGCAGATATTTTCAGCTTTCTGGGCCACTGCAGAATCTGTCACAACCGCTCCACTTTGCTTTTATGGTGTGAAAGCAGCAGTAAACTGTATGTATATGAGCAGAAGGGCTGGGTCCCAATGAAACATTATTTTCAGCAGGAGTTGGAGGCTTGATTTGGCCTGTGGGCTGCAGTTGGCTGAGCCTTGCCCTAAAATGTTGACCGAGTCATCTGGCAGCAGCTGGCAGAGAACTGGATTGACCTGGGTGGAGTTTTAGGGAAGATTTCATGAAGAAGTTGCATGTCTGTGGGTTCGTAGAAGACGCTGTCAGGACGGTTACAGTGTGAGGTGGAGAGGGCCCTGGAGGTAGGCACAGCTGGGTTCCAATCCTAGCAGTGCCGCCCACCAGTTTTACAACTTAAGGAGGGGTTTTGTAACCTGTTTCCTCATCTGTGAAATGGGCGTAGTAAGAGAACCTCCTCCCCAGAGTCATGTGGAGTGTCATGAGGGTCGACCTGCCTTGTCTGGGCTGTGACTTCCAGATGGCCTCTCAGCTTCCCCCCACAGTCTTCTCTGCAGCTGCCGGGATGATCCCTCCAAAAAGGAAGTCAGCCCGTGTCCCTCCCCTGCTTACCATCCCCCAGAGCTTCCAGCCTTGCTTCCAGCCTTCCTTCTAGCAAGGTCCAGGCTGTTAGCCACGCTTTAGAGCCCCCATCCCGGTGAATCCCTCTCACCTCGGCCACCAGTCTGCCCTTGCTCTGGCCACTTTTTGTTCTGTCATCGCTGCTGTCATTCACAGTGTAGGGTCTTTGGGCCCGTTTCTCCCCATCCTTGGAGATGCCCATCTCGACAGTCACTGGCTGGCCCTTTCTTATTATTCAGGTCTCACTGGAGAGAGCTCTCCCCAGTCTTCATCAGCAGTCCAGCTCTGTCATATCCTGCTCTAACTCCCACCCTGTTTGAGTGTTGCCATCCATCCCTTACGTGTTAGACAGTCTGGTCATATCTGCCTCATCACCACTGTACCTTGCAAGGAGGCATTCGGTAAATGCATGTGGAGTAATGTAATGGGTTAATCTCCATAGAATGCCTGACTCAGTGCCTGTCCCAAGTATGTAAGGTGTTCATGCGTCCCTCACCAGTGTGCTGAAGCCATTTATGAGATTTGAACCTGCAACCTGCAAAGAAACATCCAAAGATCAAGGTTTGTTCATCCAAGAAAAGAAAAATCACAGAGCAGTTTACAGATAGTATTTGATTATTTATACAGATCTATGGTCATAAAATGAATAATGAAAAGCCTATGAATGTACGTTAATGTCTCTTTACTGGAGCTTTCAAACTGGCAGGTAGAAGTTTCTTTTTTTCCTTTTTCCACACACCTGTTTGTGAGTTTCAGCAGGAAGGTAAACAGGGCCCCGGGGACGGGGCAGAGGAAGGAGAGCTTCAGGGTCTTCACAGCACAGCTGAGTGATCACGCTCTCTCTCTTTCAGACGTTCACACAGAAGCCGTCCAGGCTGCACTTGCCAAACACAAAGAAAGGAAGATGGCGGTGCCCATGCCTTCAAAACGCCGGTCCCTGGTGGTGCAGACCTCTATGGATGCCTACACCCCTCCAGGTGAGCCCCACGCCACTGCTGCTGGTCCGTGCCAGAGCGTTGCGGAGTTGATTGACTACTGGTCCAGCAGTAAGTCTTGTTAGCTTCCAAAATAATGGTGCTGTAATTCAGGTTTTGTGAACTGGAAGCCAGAAATAGTATATAAAGTAAATTAAATGTGGAAGGAAAATTAACATTATTATGTATCTGTGTAAATATGTATTTCAAACTTTTCAAGACTCGTAAACATGATACCTACTTTTAAAGTCTTATGAACTTTTATTTATTTAATTCTTTTTTTTTTTTCTTCCTTTTTGTCTTTTTTACTGACCGGTAACGGGATCGCAACCTTCGGTGTCGCGCCCGTA